ACATCCTTCCCTGTATGTGCCTTCCAGAACTTGTTCTCAGTAAAGCTCTAGTGAATCCTTCCCAAGGGCATGTTCGTGCACAGTCTCATGTCTCCCCACGATAGGATCTTGTGAGCATTTTGCAGTTTAAAGAGGGTACATCTCAAAATTTCCAAACCCACTTGGCAGTTTCATGCTGCTCTCAAGTTTCTCCTTTCACCAGGATTTCAAGTCCTGCTGAATTGTTCAGTCAGCTCCTAGGACAGGGACCAAGATCACTGACTTATGTTAGTATTGGTGTCTGATATTCATGGCAAGAGACAGGAGCTGCCATAAAGCATACACACAGCTTTGTCAGGCACCTTTTGCCAGATTTACAGCAGCGAATAACCCTCCATGGGTTGAAGAAGGAGCCATGCAGCTCCTTAGGGACCATGATGACGGCAGAGGATGAGGTTCCAGAACAGTGAAAAGCCACATTTCATTGCTGCTTAGTGGTGGGGGTGGTTTTTATCTTGTGTTTACCAGCTGTGCCCATAGCCGTGTGAGCTTGACAGCACTGCCTCCAAACTGAAGAGTGGTTTTTCAGCTGCAGCTGAGGACTACTGAGTTGTTAGACCCTGGGCTGTGAGAGCCCAGCCTGTTTGCTGGCAGGTTACCAAAGTGTTGTAAAGAGTGAAGATGCTGCTTTTCCTCTCATGTTCTGAGAACCTCAGGTAGGAAGTTCTGCACAGCATGGTGCAAAGATGGACATCCCAGCCCTGAATGAAGAGCAGAAAGAAGCTGGTTTGTAGGTGCATGCTAAAGCCTCGTGGAGCAGCTGTTATACTGAAGCCTGAAGTCTGGTGGTTACAACCTCAAAGCAGAGAAGACAGCCTGAGAGACCCCGCAGACTTCTTGCCTGTTAACTCTTACTCAGGGTATCCACAGTAGTCCAAATGCAGTTTATTGGATATATATTGTTCCTGTGCTTCTGGTTTTACTAGGAGATATTACTGTGTTTTCTCTATGAAAGATGACTAAGAAACATTTATGCTGCTCTCTTGGGGTTCCACATGGGATGTGCTGAGGCTCACATGTAGTTAATATGTTTTCTAAAAAGACAAAGCTTCCCCTGGGCTTCCGCAAACATTTGAAATGAGTTAGAGGAGGATTGGGAGTATAATATTAGCTATGTTATTGCTTTGTTATATTGCTGCCGGAGGAGGCAAGACTCCTCTTGTCATGTGTGAGAGGGAAAAGAAAATACTGTAATGATTCCTCTTAGCCAAGAAAATCCCTGCTCTGGCTACGCTATAGAGAGACCCAGGGCCAGAAAGTAAAAGCGTGGTGATGCATATAGGCTCTGGGATCTCTATTATTTTCATGTTGCTCTAGTGTTGGAGTATAGAATCACTGCAAGGTGTTCGTGGAAGCCCAGCATTTTGACAGTGGAGGGGGGAACTCACAGCTGGGACTGAATGTTGTTATCAGGGTGCGATGTGGGAGGGCCAGGGCTTGGCTCCCGAGGGATGCAGCGGGTTTAGGCTGGAGCCTGGGTAGGCTGGGCAGCCCCGGGCCCTGCTGCTGGGTGTACGGAGCTGCACGTATGGGGGTGTGTGTATCTGAGAGATACATAACAGAGTCTTTGCTGCCTTCTTCTCCTGGACCCTTCAGCCCCAGCTCTCAGCACAGTTCTGCCCCCCTGTCTCGGTGTGTACCGTGTTGACCAAAGAAAGATGCCTTCAGCATCGCAGCAAGTGCTGCCCTGGCAGGAGGGGGTTTTAAATTTTTACTTGCTTACTTAGAAGAAAAAGAATGCTGCAAGCAATGGATTTTTAAGTCCTAATTTTGCTTCTTGATTAAACATTTAAAAGATTGCATAGATTCGACAGAAGACCAGACTGCCTATTAGCTTGCAGTTGCATTAAATGTATCAAGCTAATTTAGCCCTGGCAGTCTGCCAGGAACAAGCACATGATTTGCTTTAGAGACAACCTAAAATCAGGTTTTTTTAAATAAAAATTCAGAATAATCCACTTTAACAGGGTTAATTTTTAAAGAAAATTGAAGCAATTAATTGTTTATCATTTATACCATATTGATTGAATGGGAAGCAGGCATCATCTCTGATGCTTCAGTTCCAACTCTGCCTCTGTCTGTGGTTCTAACGGTGAGGAAATGCTGTCTGAAAAGGTTTTTCCAAAACTGTTTTTTGGGAATTTGAGCTAATTGATGGGAAACCTGGAAAGAGTTGGATGAAGATCTGCATAGTGAATTTGTTCAGAAAACAGCGTTGTGGTCTGGGCTAGCGGGAGAGGCTGCCCTGCTCTCCAGCTGTGTGAGGGATTCAGGCTTTGCCTGCGGCTGCGGACCCCATGAGCCGAGCTCAGCTCTGCTTGTGCACTGCTGGGCTTTATAGAGCGGCCACAGAAGGATGGGCAGCATCTCATCTGAGGTGAAGCCTGATGATACAAAGCTTACCTGTGAGCATTTGCACTTCTGAATATTTAGAATGGCATTTCCTGGGCTACATCATGCCTGTGTTGATGCCTGGAACCTGGTGGGAAATTATGCTTCATTTCACGATGTCCATGTAATTAAGTGTTTTCCCCCTGCTCTTCCAGTGTTTTCTGCACTGATATATGACAAGCTCTCTGAAGGGAGGCACTCTGTGCTGAGTGCCCAAGTAAAGCAGAGCACACGCTGCTGTAAATCTGGCAAAAGGTGCCTGACAAAGCTGTGTGTATGCTTTATGGCAGCTCCTGTCTCTTGCCATGAATTTCAGACACCAATACTAACATAAGTCAGTGATCTTGGTCCCTGTCCTAGGAGCTGACTGAACAATTCAGCAGGACTTGAAATCCTGGTGAAAGGAGAAACTTGAGAGCAGCATGAAACTGCCAAGTGGGTTTGGAAATTTTGAGATGTATCTTTAGGTTGATGCAAAGTGATGGTGGGCAAAAAAGTTAGGTGTTTCACCAGAGGCTTCCATACATCCCCAAATCCTAATGGATGCCCACAGTGGGAAACAAGCAGGGTGGGCCCAGCATGTTGTGGAGGGTAAGGAAATGAAAAACTCATTTTCTCAGTCCCAGCTGTAGTGATGGTAACCTTTCATGGTGACCACAGGCCCAAGTGAATTCTGTACATGGACAGGAGGTAGGGATGTTTCTTGCTTTGCGTTAAGCTGGGGTGTAGAAGGCTCTGGAGAACAGACCTTTAGGAAGAATCTTGCTTTCATTCCCAGCCAACAAATTCAATTTTTAATTTCTCTGATGATATGAGACTTCCAGAACCTGTGCTGTATTGTCAGAACAAAAAGACTCATACCCTGAGCCAGAGAAGTGTCACACTCATCAGTTCCCCCCTTCTCCCTTTGAAGGTGACAATAACCTTTCAGCAGCGGAACTTCTGCCTCAGACATCATTTTCAATTTAGCTTTCATTCAGGGAAGAACAAGTGGGAAGTGACTTTCCAGCTAGAGCAGCTCTCCTGACCACGTTGCCCCCAGGCATGCGGAAGGTCCCTGCTCTGGAATTGCACTGCTTGCATGAGCTGGAGACAGCTGCCCTCTCTGACACAGCAGGGAGACTCTTGGGGTTAAACCAAAGGTGGATTATTTACTCTATGTGCACAAATAAAATCCTTATGTTTTTTTTTCCCATTTTTTTTTTTAATCTGAAAAGTTGGATGAATAGGAAAAGTCAATTGCCTTGGTTCCAGTTTGCAGTGAGAGAACAATTTCAATTGATTTGAAGGAAGGAACAGTTTGGGTAATGATCACAGAAAGAGGCTGAAATTAGTCAATAAATAAAGTGCAACATCTCATCCTGCCTCCACTTTCATTAGATTAGATACACTTTGAGATTACCTTCTGAGGCGATAACGCATACACTGCCCATTTATAGGCAGCCTGGAGTATTGCATCCTCATTGTATGGGGCATTTGACCAGCACGGGTCTGGTAGAGGATGTCCTGCAATAAATGCTGTGCCTATATATAGTCTGCTCAGGACTTTATTCTAGAAAAATTATTCTGCTCACAATGTGAAATACCCTGGAATAATATAATCTACCCTTTGCTGTTGATGCTAGCAACTCTGCAAACAGAAGTTATACCTGATTCATTATTTGTATTCCCATTGTACAGATGGAAATACTTTGTGGAAACAGATGAGTGAGCTGAACTGCTTAAGGTGGTGGCAATTATGGGTTAGAAACCAGGACACCTTGAATTCCCTGGCAGACCCCCTCACTGCTGTGGCATGTTCTCTATACCTGATGGAGAGGAGGCACGGCGAGTGTGGAGAAGGGGTGTCTGAGAAACGTGCTGTCACATTTGTGAATCACCGCAGGACATATCAACCTTCAGGCACAGTTAGAGCTATAGGAAATCAATATTTAATACAGTTCATTTAAAATTCACAGACACTGATGTGTTAGGAGAGGAATAGATTAACATTCACTATATACCAAAATCACTGTTCTCCAAGATCTTTAACTACACATCCTCTGGAAATGGCAATTTATTATGTCAAGCATGCGAAGGAGAAGGAGAAAGAAGTGGGAGCTGGAGTTTTAAAGATTTTAAAATTTTATATTTAATTTATTTAAGCAATAGGGACCTTTTCCTCCATGTAACACATTGTGCCACAAGGTTTTCAGGTGGATCTGTGCACCTTCAGTGTGGTCAGGCAGATAGAAGCTTGTTCATCTGAGATGCTGGATGCTCTGACGTGAAAGCCGTGTGGGTGTGCCCCATGGTGCAGCGCTCAGGGTACTACAACTACGCTGCACCGGGCTTTATCAGCTTGCTGTGATCATGTCTCTGAAGTGCTTCTGTATGGGAGCTGGCTTGTGTTTGGCCAGCTGGGTGAGTGGGCAGAGAGACCTGGGACACACAGGGCTCTTCTGTGCCAACCACCTTTCATGGTCAGTGGAGAGATGCAAGGACTTCCAGAGTGTATTTAGTTCCTCCTTAACTAGACCTCTAAACTCACTTAGATGAATCTTTTCTGTTTCTTTCTCCTGGGCATGAAGGGAGCTGTGAGTGACTGCTGAAGACATCTGCTCTGTAAATACTGGATGTGAAGTGAGTGGAGCCCCACCAACACAACTGTTCCTCACACAGGGAGGTTGGATTCCCCATGTCCAAGAAATGAAGGGGTGAGCTCTGCTGTGTGTCCACGTGGACCTGGGGTGTGACTGGAGAGAGCAGCCAAAGACAGGTTGTAGGATACTGGAACACTTTTTGCAAGGGAAAGGATAAGACATGACTTTATTTTTAGAGGTGGATGGTATTTTTAGATTAACTTTTTTTCCCCTGGAAGACTTGTATTTAGGTTGAGCAAAGCATTTTAAATAATACTGTCAACTAAAAAGTCAGTGGATCATCTGGTTAAAAAAAACCCAAACAAACAAAACAAAACCCAAGAATGAAATAAAAAAAGATGGAAGAAGTTACAATATTTTCTGTTGACATTTGCAAACAGAAAATTTCAGGTTTTCTATTTCTGTTCAAAATAGACTCTGAGTTTGTAAAAAAAGTAAAGAAGTATTGAAAAGCTGAAACCCCAAATGAAGCATTTAATTTTGGACCATGTGAAATTGAATGCTTCTCTTTTGTGTTTTCATGCTGTTGTTTTTTTAATCTTTTCTATACTGGATATCTCAGGAACTTCTGAAAATAGTTTCCATGGTAAGTTGTGTCCCCCCACCTACAACCAACAATTTTATGTCTGATTTTCTTGTGAAAAAAAAAACAAACAACAAACCCAACTAAAACAAAACAGGTGTTATTCTAGCTTTGTTTGTTAAAAAAATCTTGACCCAATAGGTTCTTCAAAACATGTTGCATCTGCAAATTAAACAATCCTTTTACAAGAATAGCTCTTCTCATTGAAGAAGCCATCAACAAAACAATTATGGGTTGTGCAGAAATATGTTCTTTCTTCTGAGCCTCCTTTCTTCCCTGCCCTCCCCATCCCCACTGGAAGCCTTGTATCACCTGCAAGCTGTCAGCAAATACAAACCATCACGACTGAGGAGCGTGTTGTATCGAGTTTCTTCTGCTGGCTCCAGAAGCCGTAGGGTAAGGGTGGGAGGGCACAACCTGGGGGTGAGCAGCAGGCAAGTCATAGCTCTGGGGAGCCATCATGTACAAGGTGGAGGGGCCCTGCTCACTCCCATGGCAACGATTCCCTCGGAGAGTGACTGCGGTCTCTCTGCTGTTGGGGTTCAGAGGTGTGCAGTTGTAACCCTGGGGACGGGGTTGCGGTGTGTGGCACCGCCATCTGCTTTCTTGGGGTCAGTTGTCTTCAATTCAAAACTCTTTGTCTAGGGGTAAGAGCGGTTCATCTAGTGCAGTGGGATTCTGGTCCAGCTGCAGTGCTCCTAGACAGAAATTATAACACTATTAAGCAACAGGAAGGCTGAGCTGGAGTTTGTTTACCGTTATGTTCACATCTAATTTTATCTGATTTAGTTTTCTGCAGAGCACTGTCATCTCTCCTGAGAAGACTTGGCCCCATTTCTGTTATCTCTTAGATGAATTATTGGAATTATTTGGACATTTTTGTTCAAACGCAGCAACATTAAAGTTGTTTTCAACCCTACCAGTGGTCAAATAACAGCCACTGTTTAGCTCAGCCAAGGCATGTATCTTTTGCTTGCCAAATGTGTTACTCGGAAATCTGTTCTTTTCTCATTTCTCCACCTGTGATGCTGCTGGTGATGGAAGGAAACTTTTTTAACTCTCTGTCTCACTGGTTATTATCGACTTGGCAATGCAGGCGAGTCGATCTCAAGAACACATAAATAGTTCTGCAGTATGTGAAGTACAAGTGGTCCAATATACTGTCTTTTAAAAAACCTGCTGGTTCCCTTTTCTAAGGACTACAAGGACTAGAATGACCTGAGAAAAGTGGGCACTGCCTAAGCCAGGCTCCCACATGATTGGGAACAGCTCTTTTTTTTTTGTTGTAGAGAGTCCTACATGAACAGTATCATTTAGAGGCTGGTCTGAAGAAAGTTTTGCCCAAAAAAACCTTCTGAAAATTCACTTTTGTAAACTATTTACCTTCAAGTCCTTATTTGGAACAGACATAATTTTATAGAAAGTACAAGGAGAACTTCGGGCCAGCTCTCAGGCTCTAAGGGTAAGGGGGCCAGACATGAACTCTTCTCCTTCCTCCAGTCCTGCTCAGTAGTGCTGTGTTCCTGGGTTAGGGAAGGCTGAAGATGCCTCCAGAGTAGTGGTTCCTAAACCATAATTCTCCAATGAGTAGTTTGAGAAGCTGTTGTAAGAGTTCCGCAGAACCACGTTGCATCTTTTACAAAGCTGTGCTGAAGGGGATGTGATGTCCAGCATCCTCCAGACCACACTGAGGGCCAACATGGCCAGCAATAGTGCAAGGCATTCTTCTAGAGACATCTTGAAGAGGCCTTCCTAATTTAGGTTTTGTTTCTCTATGGAAATAAATGTATCGCATGCTTACTAACACATGGTTTCTTAAAAAGTTTATGAACTCTCCAGTGGTGTTTACTATACTCCAGGATTCAGAACCAAGCCAAAACTGCAAAGTGTGTGTGCATATGTGTCTATAAAACTAGGCAGGCCCTGCAGGCATAGTAGCACTATTATTATTGCCATCCTACCTTTGCCCACATAATTTCTTCACACCCTTTTCGTTGTGAGAAGAGAGAAACTCACAGCACACCCACTCTCCCACCTGAAGAAGCTGCTCTTTCTATATGGCAATTCTGCAAGGTGATAAGCCCATTGATTTTCTTGTGTTTCCCTGATGTCTGCTCAGTACCCTGCGTGTGCAGCTGCCTACGGCACGTGTAAGCCACACAGACGGCGGAGGGACGTGGCAAAAGAGGGCGTTTGAGTACAAGGAGAGAATCAGGGAGTAGGACCCTATGGCTGGCTGGAAAGAAGGTGCATTTCCTTGCTTATCCCAGCGCCAGACTAGCCATACTGGTGACACTGTATTTTATCTTTCTGCACCTTCAGGCAGTTGAGAATAAAAGTTAAAAAAAATTTGTCTTAAGGCCTTCAGGAGCAGAGTTTTGACCTTGAGTTAATTTGTAACCAATTAACTCAAGATGCTTAATAACACGTTTGTAAAGGTTAGTTTGAGCCCAGTCTTCCCCCTAACTTTTGTTCCAGGCAAGGAACGTTCATGTCTCTGCAGGGCAGAGTGCATGAATTTATATTCTGCTATTAATGTGCAGGGAGTGACCAAGTTTGCAAGTTAATTGGCAATCAATTAACTGCAGGTTAGAAAAAGACCAAGCAGGAAATAAAAGCCTTTGCTGTATGGTGTGGCCTTTCACTGGGTGACTTTTCACAGAGGCTCTTTTGGTAGAGGCAAAATAATGTGGGTGATGGAGACTCAGTGCTGCTAAATGCCACGTGGTCCTGATGAGCCCAACGCTCTCCACCTGTAAGTCAGAGCCTTGGGCTGCTTTACCAGTGCCACTTGTCTCCAAGACTGTTTTTTAATATTAAGCTTATACCACACAATGACAAACTCAGGGAACAGACAGAAGCTGTGCATTTTTCTACCAGCTGAAAATTTGGGGTTAGTGAATTAACCCTGTAATGAACAGAAGCACAAGAGAGCAGAGGAGGGCCCCTGACATTAAACCTGTGAGAGGGAACCAACAAGCTGATTTCAGCTCTTCTCTGGAAGAGAGTCCAAGAGGCAGGTTACAGCATGTGAAGATGCTGATGTGGAAGCAGTTGACTCCACCCTACAGTCAGCCACAGAGCTCTGCTCCTGCTTCAGGGGACTGAGGCAGCTCAGCCCAAATCCCCTCCCTTTGATCAGAACTAGCTTGTAGTTTCTTCCCAGTGGGGAGAACTTCAGTCAGCCTCAGAGACAGGCACGGGGGTTACCTGTAACTCTGCACAGAGGCCACTGACCCTGTAGTCAAGGCAGAGCACCTCAGCTCTCCCTCCTGTGTTGCTTCAACATGAACCTAGAAAAGCTTTGGATGGGAACAGGCACGTCAGCCTGAGCCTTCACCTCTGTGGTTTCCTTCCTCTAGTTATCTCCCAGTCTTCGTTCATCCCAGGACTGAGTGCAGTTCCCAGCCCACCAGAGCCAGCTCCTTATTCCAGAAAGACTGCAAGAGCGGCAGGAACAGCCAAACTGGGAGACAGGAACAGTACCAGAGCATGGCCTCAGTCCCAACACAAGGCCTAGATCAGGCCCAGAACCAGCTTTGGGAGCGAACTGGGGAATGGCATAGTGCTCCTGGAGTGAGCCGCAGGGCAGGCTCGGAGCACTCTTGCTGTCACCAGCATTAGCTCCCCGCAGAAGGACCCGCCTGTTCGGGACCACATGGCATCTCCAGGTTTCAACTATTAAATTCAACACTGGTTTTGTGCAGAAAACTGTTCATGTGTCTCTAAACTTCTATTTCCAAGTCATTAACTGGATCGATATATAACAGTTATCTTTAACCTTAATCTCTTTGCTGGCCTGTCTATAATTTGCTTTCTATTACACTCACTTTGGCTCCTGCTGGGTGGATTGTAATATGCAAACTGCCGTAGTGTCTGGGTAATGGAGCCACTAACGCATCGCGGGCTGTTTCCCTCTGAAGAATTCAGCTCAATCCCAGTTCAGCTATTTCCCCCCGGCTCTCAGCCTTCTGGCTTGTTCAGTGCTTACTCACCCCCCATGCCAGCCTGCACATGCCGCCCCAGCCGGCACAGACCAGCCGGTGAAATAATTCTCTTGGTTTTATGTTCATTTTTTGTTTACTGCAGTTTAGCTGCCCGATGCAGCTCAGAGATCAGCCCATGAGGTATCTGCTGTGGGGTGGAGACGGGCAGCAGGCAAGGCAGGACTACCGGCTGCTGGACTCCGGGTGCCATCAGAGTGTCACCTCCAGATCCCACCACAGTTTGGCTACAAGGGGACACAACTAAGACCAAGAGGTGAAGACCCACAGACCTTCCAGCATCTGGTGTCTCTCTTAAAACTCTTAGCATGTAGATTCAGGAGTCCAGCTGTTTCCAGCTGAGGACGATAAGATCAACTCCAAAAATACACTGCAGGGCAGGCCCCAGGGTGGCAGAGGAACTGCTGTGGTGACAGGACAGACTTTGCACAAACCCCCCAAATAGAGTAGAAAACGAGAAGGAGGCTGTGGAACAGCTACCCAATGAAAGCAGCAGAGATTAAGAAATGTATATAATTTCAAACATGAATTTGGGTAGACTCATAAAACGGTGTTAATGGTTCTCAGGGTGCAGTCAGCTGGAATGTCCTTTCCAGTCCTACATGAATCATATTTTGTACTACTCCCCTGAGACAGATGGTCCCTAGAACAGGTGGTTTAGTTATTATTTTTTATTGTGCTAGAATAATGTCATAGTCTTGAAAACTCT